GGTTGATAAAAGATGGGTTTGCATCATTATTATAACCCAAACGATATCCCTAATGCCTAGCCACGGCGGCCGTGGGGTCTAAATATCTACGGCCAATAGAGTGGTGAAGTGTGACGTCATCAAAAAATCTATTTTTAGAATTTCTCAATTTTTTCTTCATTTTCCGAAAGAGCATCAAAAATAATGTCCAAATGTCGAAAACCAATTGAATATGTTAAGTATTGGCTGAGATATGGCCATCTGAATAAAAAGTTTGCCTATGGGAACTCAGTGTTTTATGCTCTGGCTCCTAACCGTTAGGAGCCAGAGCATATAACACTGAGTTCCTATAGGAAATATATTCATTCAGATGGTCATATCTCAGCCTATACTTAACATATTCAATTGGTTTTCGACATTTGGACATTATTTTTGATGCTTTTTCGGAATATGAAGAAAAAATTGAGAAATTCTAAAAATAGATTTATATGACGTCACAGCTTCGGTACTCTATAGCATTTATAGGGCAACCGCAACATTCCCACGGTTACATACGGTAGCATGCTGCAGTCGCATATGTTAGGGTAGACGCACGGCGTATTTTGAATTTGAAGAGACAGAAAACCTGCGCCTGCCGTACGGCCATTGACGTGATGACGCACGGTCGCCTTAGAGCGTCCCTGCGGCGGCCGTACAGTTTTTGACAAATACCAAGGCAGACGAAAGGTAGCCGCAATGCCACCGTACGCCCGACGTATGGTCGCCGTGGAACCGTTCTACGGCATGGCTACGGTGTGTCTTATTATCTAATTCCTACGGTAAACATACAACTGAAAAAGGTTATAACTCCCGGTTATAATCCCACGGCGACCCGTACGGCCTGTAAAGATAGGGAAACGCCCTAAAGTGACACTGAGGCCAACGAAGATCCTCTGCGGTCGCCGCAGGTATCTCTCAGTTTCGGGGGCCTACGGTCGCTGTATCCTAGCCCTAGAGCAAATGTGACTTAGGCATTATGCCTGGATTACATTTGACCCGGGTGCCCTATGTTAAATTAGTCTACGATTTTTCGTGCGATTTGGGGGGAATCGTAAGAGGCTACGGGCTACGATGTTTGTGTTTACATTATGGACATTATGTTTACATTTTCCTGTATTCTGTGTGGCAGGCTGGGGCAATCCGTACAAAGGCTGCTCGGAGATTGTACGGAAATCGTGCAATTTCAGTGCAGTAGCCGTACAGTCTCCGCAGACTCCGCACGTAAATCGTACGGTGACCGTGCAGTCGCCTTGCCGATTTTGAGCGTTTTTGTAACCCCGCCATTGCATATATAACGCATGTGTAACAAGTCGAACTTTGGACGCAATTTACCACGCAATTGTAAGATTACAGGTCAAGCACACGAAGGATAAGGAGCATGAATTATCATAGATCAGTTCTGCTTGGTTCATTATGTCCACTTCAGCCAACCCCCCACCGTAATTTTTCCATTTAGTATAGGCAAACATTTTGCCAAGGTAAGCAAAAACATAAATATTCATGACACACCATGACTATTCGATTATTAACAGAGGGGTGCAATTGTGCACCACATCAAACTCCCCTACTTTCAGTCAAGTATTTCATTGTTTTATGTAGTTTGGTAGGTTTATTTTACTAACTGTTTAATTATTAGATATCAATGATAATTTAAAGATATGGAAAAGGTTCTTGTATATTATATTTAGCAAAGCAATCTCACATACAAAATCACTATCAAGTGTCGTCTGATCCGCCGATTGCCGTCTGCTATATACGTTCTATAGACGGCGAACTAGCTACGTTTGTGCTGGCGAAAATGAGACAACCGGAGCAATATGAATAATTAAATGAAACGTGAAAGCTTCCGCGCCTCGCGCTGATTTGGGCGAAAATGGATCCAGACAAGGATTAAGAGTAATAATTGAATGAAATGTCATAGCTTCTGCGTTTCGCGCGGGAGGGGCGAAACAAGAATTAAGAGTCGAAAACGGTACAACGGATCGTCTTCTTTCTCTAATAATTTAATGAAGTGTCAAAGCTTCCGCGCTTCGCGCGGGAGGGGGAAAACTGAAAAAACTTAGTTCCTGGCTCCGGGGTTTAGGGTTAAATTTATGTACATTGGGATATTGGCATTAATATATTTGTCGGTAATCATGATTGGTGGCTAGTTTTGTCGGTAATCGGTAGCCTCAACAGTCTACACCCCCCCCCCCCTTCCCCACTGAAAAAGGTCTAGCGACGCCCCTGATAACAACACAGTTTATACACACGATATATTTTTTGCAAGTACTATTGGTGAAGTACCGGACCACCGTCTTTGTGCATTATGCAGTAACGAAGCACGATGTTACAGATCACTTTCTCTAACTTCTAACCAATCAGAAGGCCTCGTTTTCCCCCAGAAAGTGCCGGTGGACATTAATGCGCCAAATGTGGTTCTCAAATTGCAAAAGATCCCTTCTCTTGGAGGGGGTAGGAGAAAGCAATTTTACGTCATAATTATTATTCCAGGAAGTGCCTGAAAATGTGTCTAATGTGGTTCTAAAATTGCAAATGCTTCCTACTCGGGGAGGCGGTCAGAACCCCCTCCAAGACCCACCCCCGCTTGGTCGCTCCGATCCCTCGCCGCTAAAAGCCTCGCTCTGTCGCTTCATCGTTGTACATATATTTCACCCCTGCCATTTTGTGCCACCCCCCCCCCCCCGGGAAGAAATTTCTGGATCCGCCACTGATGCCCATACCCCTTGAGCTTCGGGGGCTCCGTCCCTTGACCCCCGCCGTGGCTTTGCCCCTAGACCCCACTTTGAAAAACGTTCAGCAGGGCCTGCATGTAAGAGTAAGGGTGATGAGGAGTTTTTGTCTCCCCCCAAAAAAAATAAAAAAATAAAAAATAAATAAACGTTTTTGCTCATTACGCCACTGCCTTACTACCAAACCCAAACAAAACGCACTACCATCCCCCTAAAAAAAAAACACGCACACACACATACAGATTTATACATGATACATGTATGAGGAAGACGAAGCAGAGAACTTGGGAAACATATAGAGAAAGGAAGAAAGATGAGAGAGAGAGAGAGAGGGGGGAGGAGAGAGAGGGAGAGAGAGAGAGAGGGGGAGAGAGAGAGAAAGAGGAAAAAAAGAGAGAGATGGAGAGACCACAATGAATTTGGAATGCAACACAATAAAAACTTGCATATAGGCCTATGATCCCTTTATAGCAGGGACGATGAAAAATATTGTGCAATCCGGAAAGATAGTAAATCTGTTAGGCAGCTCATTGTAAACAGGGAGCTTTGAAAATTAAACGAACGATCCATTCTTTTGCGTTTGGGTTAGCCGGACAAAGAACAGACGGCATTCATATGCTATTGTTGTCTGAGTTTGGACGGATGAAATTATTTTGAAAGTCTTTGTGTTTCCTGATAAGTGTTGTGATCCTTGCTCTGACAAAAGTTTATGCTTATTTGTTTATCTTTACATTTGTAATATCCCCAATAACTCCCCCCCCACACACACACACACACACAGAAGAAGAAGAAGAAGAAGAAGAAGAAGAAGAAGATGAAGAAGAAGAAGAAGAAGAAGAAGAAAACAAATAGAAAAGAAGACAAAGAAGAAGAAGATGATGATGAAGAAAGAAGGAGAAGGTGGAGAAGATGAAGAATGTAAATTTCAATGTGTACTTAACAAGGTAAAACAAGAAATATGCAACGACACCATGCAAATTATGTAAATTCTCAAATTTAATTTCTACAGATGACTACATGTTTTTTTGTTTTTTACACTGTAAAGCACATTAAAGTGAACTACGTCTGAATGACATGGGTAAAGACTGGTTTAGCAATGACAAAAAGAATGTACTCCGGCTCCAAAGCTTTTACATTTGGGCAGACATGTACCCTAAACCGATAAAATGTACGGAATTTGGAGCCTATGATCATAGCAACAACAACACAACATTACAATAAGGGTCTGCATTAGCCCCATTCCCTTTTAGCATTCCGTTTTTTTAATACAGCCTGCTGAAAAAAAAATTGTTGGATGTTTGAAAATCTTTGCCTGTACTATTTTGCTTGTTACACTTCTTTACTTTAATCTATTTCATTTTTAAAAATACATTTTGATTAGCTTGTCCATTAAAGGTACTATGTCCCATTTGCAGGCGCAAAAAATGAAAAAGTTAAATTCAAACTGCATTTGAAAGATAATACTAATTTATAACTTCCCTAAAAAGGTGGGGCTTGAAAATGTCTTCAAGTGGGAAAATAACGACTATTAGTTGTCAAATCGAGTTTAGGGCTATAGAGCCCAAAAGTAATAGTCTTGATTTTCAGACAATTGTACTGAATGGTCATACGTTTTATGCTGCGCAAAGATTCAATCAGTTTAATCTTGGCCATCACAAGAAGTGGGTTATTGATGTAGACAAATGCTCATGTACTCTTTACAACTCTTTTCATGTATGTTATTACCAAAGAAGAAAAAAAAGCCAGTCAGTCACTCAATAGTGTCTGACAGTGAAGTCTAGCAGGTAAACGGGTTTCCTTGCATAATTTGAATATGAGGACACTGCTAACTTTTAAATTTCACAGGTTTATAACTGTGATGATTTCAAATCACCTGAAAATATTAATAGTTGATCATGAATTGATTTTGGTATATAAAGCCGTACAGATCCTGACAGAATAAATACAGATGTGATCCATGAAATCATGTAATGGAGAAAAGGAGCCATCATTGTTGGTTGCTCTCACAAAACTTAAGTGAGGACCAAGGTCATAATAAGGCACTTTGGAGTTGGTACCTAATGATCCACAAATATCAACAGATCTTTTACACAGTTCAGTGCATTATTATGGTGATAAAGTACTGTTCAAAAGTCCTGAAAGCTTTGTATTTTTATCAATCATTAGATTTGGAAAGTGAAACTAATGAAGTTATCTACACTATTTTAACAAAAAGTAATCGTATAAAAGAAGTATGGTCTGTATGGACGTTCATGTTTCTATTTCCTCATAAAGATGGTCAGCTGGATCAGTCTGAGCCACACCAGCGGCCTCTGTTCCCTCACCTACAATCCACAAATAATGTAAAGAAAATTTAGAGAATAGGTAAACTAAAGGAGAAGTTCACCATGGTATTAAGTTGTTTTTTTTATAGAAGAAAAACAAGTTTGAGCAAATTCCGATTTTAAAAAAAAAGTTATGTACTTTTGAAGTTGCGATCAATCGAAACCTAATTGGCAACTCCGTGACATATCTTGCGAGGTCCCTTCCCATTTGATCTGTACTTATAAACACAAAACATTTTCCCTCAAGAATTCAGCTTTTCGAAACTATTGATGATAAGACAAATTAGCTGTTACATTCCCTGAAAGTGCATGTTGTTTCCTCATAGCCCATAGTGTCACCACATTGTGTAATAGGTGGTGCGTAGCCTAGGTACTCCCTGCTGCTGTGCTCGGCTGCATGATAGTGGCATATCGCCTTTTTTGTGATAGTGAAAATTTGTGGTTATCTCATAAAGCTTGTGAGAGAAATAAAAAGTTGTACGATTACCTGGTGTGCCGGAAGGAAGGTTCGGGAGGGATACAGGTTTGTCCCTTTCCATGAGTGTGTCTTCGTCTGACGGGACAGGAATATTAAACTTCTCTAATTCTGGAGACAAAAAAAAAAATTGTAATAGTTTAAGAACAAAATACTGATTGTTTTCTCTCCCGTCTCTCTCCCTCGAACTATAATATTTGTCTTTCGCAATTCGCTTTCACCCCCTCTCTCTCTCTCTCTCTCTCTCTCTCTCTTTCTTTTTCTCTTTCCTCCAATTATCTTAGGGTACATAATTGTTTTAATATTGTTTACCCACTTTGAGTTTGATGACATACAGTTTTAAGATTTGTTAATTATTAAACAAAATGAAATAATAATTGTTAAAACTGTTCTGTCATCAGTGGTGTTGCTACAATGGGGCACAGGGACACGTGTCCCCCAATTTAATAGCAAAACAAGTGATAGCGAGGGGAGAGAGGTTTCTAAAAATTGCTCTTCAAGAAATTATTGTATCAATTACGTGAACGTTGGGGAAAAAATAATAAGTCTTAATTGAAATCTATTGTAAGAGGTGCATTACATGATTATCGAAAAATGCGTTGGGGTGATCCGGCATGCGTTCTTGATGTATCGTAGAGCAGGAAAGATAAATCGATTCGGGGGAAAGAGACAATTTTGGACACCTCACTGCCTTAATATCGTCATGATTCAGGCAGTATGGTGCCAAAATATAACCTCATATATATCATTTATGCCACAACAAAGAGTCCCCTCTCCCCCTCATTCGCTTTACTTTTCCCAAAATGTATGAACCAGGATGATTCCTTGCAACAAGATAACTGAATATATAATATTACATTTTATCTGGTGTGTAAACAAAACATCTTTGCCATAATAAAAGTATCATTGTTTGCCCGCGAGCGAAGTGAGCGAGCAATATTTGGAATCCTGATTGTATGACTTCGGCACGGCCCTCACTCGAAAATGTGCCAGTACGTCTCTGTTTACGAAGGATAGATACACATTTTCTTAAATGAATTTTGGATGGGGGTGACAGTAAACGTGTTAACCCCTAAAAGGTTACAGTGACTAAAGAAAAGGTAGACAAAAGATGATCTAGTTCAAATGAGATTCAAATGATTTTATTTCCCATGGAAAATATAATACAATAAAATTGCAATGTTATTTGCAATCTAATACAAGTACAGTACAAAAATAAACAATGAAACAAGACAAATTTAATAATAAAGGCACGAGAAAAGAGGAGCTAACTAGAAGCAGATTAAAGACTGAAGACTGGTGGCCCCCTGATGACTGAGCCCAAGCTACGCCACTGAATGTCATTCTACTCAAATTAAAATAATCATGCTATCAAATGAATTTAAATTTTGAAGAAAATTAACATCGATCGGTTTTGTGTTTCTTCTACTGCTGTTTTTCACCCTTTAGCATCATTTCTCCAAAAGCAGCTGAACATACTTTGACAACAATTTCAAACTTTTGATCGGCAAATAATTGCTCATAATTTCATTTGAACGTTTGTCTGCAAGTCAAAAGTTTGATCATAAATTCTCCCATTTTGAGAATTTATTCATCTTTAAATTATATGCATTTTCAAATCATGCAATCTATTCAATCTTGACAAAAAAGTATAAAGGATAATAACTCCCTGTACTCGTTTTGTTCGGGAAAATATTTCTTCAAATTTGTCTTGTTTCCCTTTTCCGTATTAATTTACAGTGTTTTTACGTCATAGCCTCCAAATAATAATTGAAGAAAAACAAAATAAAGAGGAAAATATCTTATTAAGCAGTTAATGATATCATTATTTAAGGCTGAATGTTGATTCGTTATTTTTTTCAAGAATTCTGCCACATCTTGACCAGTTTGTTGACAATTGATTATATGAAGTACACGATTAGCTTTGTTTTTGAGCTCAGTAAATTTTATCATCACTTGGTTGCTTCCGTTGTAAATTAACATACTGAAAAAAATTATCTACGAACCTGCTTTGACGAAATCAGCACAGTCCTTCATTTCATTTTCTAGAAAGATCCCTCTCAGATTCAGAGCACTTACACTCCCCCGTCCATGTTTCATAACATACTTGGAAAAGAGGTCGTCGAATGAGCTAGCTGGATTCATGGTGAGATTGCCCGCAACCATTGCGTTAGTGCCCGCGGCTTTGCTGAATCCCAGAAATACGCTAAGCTGTCTCGGGCTGACATTCGCTAGATCAAGCTGTTTTGACAATGCCAGCACAAATTTGTCAGTCAAAATTTTTGCCATCACGAGTTGCCAAGTACTGACGCTAGAAAAGAAATATACATATTTAAAATGTAATAATAGACTAATGTTATGATTTAAATAAACGCATGAATAGATACAATTTCACTCTAAGATATCTTTTTGTTTAGAACAAGAAGAGCGTTAACTAATATACTAATAATAACACTGAGTTAACACCCTTCTGGGCTGTGAAAATCATTTGCTAGAATATGTTACAGCTACAGTTACTGTAATTTGAAATGTGATAATTTATGAAATCTGCTTTGAACAAGAGCTCGAAGGCATGGTCATTTTAATCATCGTCTAGTGTAGCATGTGGTTGCGCAACCGCCCTCAACTCTACTGAATCCTAGAATTATGCTTAATTCATCTGCAGGGTGTAATTTCACAGGAAACACTGTCATATTAGGTAGCAGGGACGGCGATTTCTTTTCATGACCGGGGGGGGGGCGAAATGCAAGGGACGAGGGAGCAGTGGCATAATGAGTAAAAACGGGGGGGGGGCAGAAAAAAAAACTGCAATCTTATATGACCTTTCAACAACATTAGTAAATCACTGGTATCGAATTAGAAATAAACCACGTTTGAATTTCATTTGGGGGAACTGCTCCCAACCCCCCCCCCCCGCCCCGCCCCCCCATTCAGTACACAAGTGTGAGGGAGCATAGTGAATGAGAGGGGTGAAGGTGACGGAAATGACTACCCCCTCACAAGTTTTGTTGTATTAAAAAATCACATTCCTTTGAAAAACTATAGTATAACGACAAGCAATATACTTTATTCACACTTCAATTGTCTCGGTATTTACTTGTAAATTTTGAAGGATATTATGCAAGGGAGCGTAGCTACCGAGTGGGAAGATTTGTTGCGTTTTGATTTGTCTAAACGCTGCACACTTGGGCCCTCGAAAGCTTAAAAGTGTGTTGCCATCTTTAGTCAGTATTTGCTATACATTTTTTGGCACTTTTTCTAATTTTGAGGGGGGACAATCCCCCCCCCCCTAACAAAATTGAGGGGGGACGTACGTGTCCCCCATCACCCCGGGATCGCCGCCCCTGTTAGGTAGGGTCTGGAATCTAGATGATTCTATGGGGCGGCTATTGCACAATCGGGGGATGTTTCTAAATAAATGAATTCATATAGATCAAGCAATCAATAAAGATCGGATTGGAAATGATTGACAAAACAACGATCTAAACTTGATGCACCCTTTGTCGAGTATGCTCTTGCTCCAAATCGCCACCAGCGTAGCTAATAAGGGCGATGTGACCCAGCCCCTCCTCCTCTCCCCTCGCTCTGTTTGTATGTCTGTCTATCTCTCTCTCTCTCTCTCCATAATGCTTTTGGGGGAATTTTGGTAAGTGTAGAAGTACTGCCCACTGCACACTATGCCATCATTCTACGACCCGATTTTGGAAGAACTAAAGTCAGAGGGGGGGGGGGGGAGGATGTCAAAATCAGCTACAAATCAGAGTTAGTCTTGCCATTGCAATGCCCTAGTCTGACGTCATTATGATTACTTCTTCTCAAGGTTCAAAGTAGGCTACCCTTGTATGTTTGATCCTGCTATCCACATGACTTTTGGAAAAGAACTTACCTTTCAGATTTTCGTACCTAAATATATTGTAAATACCTTCCTAGATCGGCTAAAAGTCTAAATCCATGATTTGTGACTGACTTAAAGGGATCGATCTAGTTGAGTTTTTTTTGCAGAGGGCGCTACACAAAATATTTTGTGTGAGATAATTAAAAAAATGTGTGTCATATTTGAAAAAAACATACAATTTAAGTGGCAAAATAATCTTTGTTTGATCATAATAGATTCAGAGACGGCTGAAATATCCATAAAATAACGATTTCCAATATTTGTGGTGCCCCACAAATATTCAATAATTTGAACCAGCCGTTGAAAAAACGAGATAACGCCTTGAACAATTTATTCCAGCCAATGCCGATATTGGCTTGTTCGTGTTGGTAATAATACGCACACCAGCCGCACACCACTGTATTTTGTATAAGGTGGAGCTGAATTGGTATGATCGTATTGGCAAAATTTCACACATTTTGGGGTCTAAAATTACCTTCCTAGCAATTTTTGGTCCTAATAGAGCACTAGACTATGTCTTAAATAAGAATAAGAACATTAAACCATGCACTTTGAAGGCATTTGGCTTTTTTGTTTTTTTTTTTTTTTTGTTGATAAGTTTTATTTGCAAATCACATTGTCACAAAAGATAATCTCAAATAAATACATATTTTTCTTCAATGATACTTCCATTTCCCGTTATTTTCTTCATCTAAGAATCGTTTGATCCATGACATTTTCATTGCTCGATTGCAACATAACAAATGTGGCATTTTTGGACCACTATCATTGTAGTCTCGTTACTCGTTACAGATAGTTATCTTGCAGAAAACGTAGAGGGCGTAGTAAGCTTTTGGGGCGTAAGAGTTCAGAGCGCGATTACGGACGCACCATGCGTAAAGCAGCTCTCGGAGCCTATAAATAGCGGTTTTTAACGATGATTTCTTCACTTCGACGCTGGCTCTCGTCGTAGTCAGATAGCGAACTCTCCGCTCCGCTCCAACTGAGCTAAAATAAGGAAAAGGATTGGAAACGAGAAATAGAGTTCCTACAAAAGGCAATCCCTGCCTTTACTACTTGTTGAGATTAATCAAGGTAATCGGTGTCGGTGTTAACTATGATAACGTGTTGGAGATGTTGACTTATGTTTGTATTATTAAAGTATACAGTTAAACAATCCATCGTTTCGTAACGTGTAATTAGTTGAGTCTCCATAGACTAACGTAATATAACCCTCTCATAGAGAATACACATCCAGCTATCCAAAACACCTCTCATCTCCACCCCCATATACTTTGGGAAAACGGAGCCACGTCCGGGCCTCTAAACTACAAGCCATATAGAAACCGCTCGCATTAGTCAGGATGGCAAACTCTTCGTCAGATGACGGTGATAGAGGCAAGGGACAGGCCAGCCCTCCAGCATCCAGGACCCGTTCTAAGATGGAGGGCCGTTACAGTAACAACGTAATAATACTTATTCTCATTCTGAGTGGGGTAATATATTTCTTTCAGAGCAATCATTAAAAACTGAACATAATAAAGATTGGATTTCATTCCAAAAGGTCTTGTAAAATTCAATTGGTAACCCGTCACTACCTAGTGACTTGTCATTTGAAAAAGAACTAATAGAATCATAACACTCCTTTTCTGAGATCATTGACCCCAAAACATTGTTTTTATTGTTATTTGCACATGGTATATCTAAGTTATTCAATAGTACATCATTGTTATAGAACATATTTTCTTTAGATAAATATAAATTGGCATAAAAAGTCCTTTCTTCTTCAATAAGTTTCTTCGATTCAAAGATGATACTTCGATTCACAGATGATACTTTTATCAGATTGGAGCCGTAATATATATTTTTGTTGATAATTTCTTTTTCTAAAGTTGTAAAATATTTAGTTTTTCTCCCTCCTTCTGCAATCCATCTTACTTTTGATCGCAACATTGCACCACGTACAACTCCTTCATGTAACACTTCGAATTCTTTCTTATCATCCTGCAATTCACTAACTAATTCATCATCCAACCTGTTCGGAATCTTATTATTTAAATCGTTTATTTCTTTTTCTAAATTTTGCATTTCCTTCTGGTTTTCGTTTTTCTTTTCTTTTGAAATTTGCATAAACTTTTTAATTATTTTATATTTTAGGAACTCCCAACATTGAAAAAGGTCTAAGTTAACATTTCCTTTCATAATAAAATTTATGTAATATTTGATCTCTTTAACTATATTAATTTGTATCGAATAAAAGCGAGGTATTCAGTTTACAGAAGCCGGGCCCTCTTTTAGTAATAGATTTTATTAAAACTAACTGCCACTCGTAACAACAGAGGATGAAAGACTTTCAGAGATATTAAAGAAAAAAATCAATCCTACTTCTGATTTTCATATCTTTTGACATTCATGTATTCATTTCCGATAGGTGGGTATGACGCCATATCAAGCAGGTCAAAATCATGTATTATTTCCATAATGGCTTTCACTTGGCTTTATTGCAGTATTTGTTTTTCACATTAAAAAAGTGTTCAAATAATGTATGCAAAGAACTTATATTTCAAAGTATGGTAAGCTGGGAAGATGATCACAAAGTCTTGAAAGAAATCAACATTAGGTGAATTAGTAAGCCTTGTCAATCACATATGGGACCCGTACGCGCCCTACATCGAACCCTATACAATGCCTGGTGCAGAAATTACTTCCAGGTTCCTAGAATAATGCGTTATCGGTACATTTTAGATATAAATTTTAAAAAATATCAATATTGCACTTTACCCCTAACATCATCAGGTCATAAACAAACACGGAACCTTTACCATGTTATAACTTCTATGAAACGTTTTTTTACACGGACGATGTCATTGTTTCGCGGTGCCGTCGATCTTTAGAGCTGTCGGCCCCGTGTGCTGTTAGTCTCGAGGTCAACATTTAAAGGTAATACAAAGTTTTGGAAAATTTTGGAAAAATGGCTGGATAAAGATTCTTCACAGTTTTGAAATATTTAGATGCCCCTGTGGATGTGTTTTAAGCACTAAAAAAAAGTTAGCCCCTAAGAGACTTCTGCTTTCGAGAAAAATTGAATATCAAAATTTACCGGTGCTCCCGGTATATTTCGATAATTTTCAAATAGCGCCTACGGCCATACAGTGGCAGCTGCGACGGTCACCATGAAAATCTCAGAATATGTAGTTGTGATATATAAATTTCAAACGAGAATAGCCAATTGGTCGATTTTAGTCAAGAAACATTGTTTTATAGCTTAATTAATATCTCGTTCAGCCAAAATACCTGACATTATCAAAACATCAATTAAAATGGACAATATTTGAATATATTTGGATATTTTTATTATCCAATTCAATATTTGAATTGAAAAGGTTCATAGCATAAACTTCCTTCGCGTCATATAACTATATATATATCGGT